CCAAAGTGATGACGTGTTGCGATGCACCTTCAGTTTCTATTATCTACTGCTTTTATTACAACTTTTATGATCACTATCTTCACAAATAAAGAAATAAATACATAATAATAATAATTAAAATATTAAAAATAAACAAATATAAACAAATAAATAATTACTTTTTTCATTAAAATTATATTTTAATAAGCAAAATCATTAAGTATCTTTCCAACAGAGGAAGCCTTTATAAAAGCTATCTGTTATATATAGTAAGTAAATAAATAAACACTTTTTAAAGCAAAATCATTAAGTGGAATCTTACCGATAGAGGAAACCTTAAGCTTTACATACATATACAGTATAAAAGCTATCTGTTATATATATAAGTAATTTTTATACCAATGGATTTCCGCTATAAAAAAAGAAGAAAAAAAAAGAGAGAGAATACATAGTTTATCGTCCATTTTACTGTAGCTGAACTGTTAGCACTGAGCTCACAGCTGGTTTGGTGGACGTTTTGAAATGACGTGCAGCTTCAACGCGTCCAGAGCTCTGGCGTCGCGTGCGTCGCGTCCACGGAGAGACAGCAGAGCGGAGTGTAATTGAATTGAATCAGCGTGTAACACCGCCCCTTTACGCGGATCAGCTTCTTCCGTGCCGCACACAGAACCGCCCTGGATCGGGGCAACTAACAGAGGGAGGCAATGAAAGAGTGATTGAGATAGAACGGAGAAAGAGAGAGGGAGGGAAAGAGACGCTTCCATACTTCAGAGATCGGATCTTGTTAAGGGAAAACCGGTGTAATTTCTAAGAAACTCCAGGCACACAGACGGACTTTGGAGGACACATTTGGGACTAAAAACATCTAAACTGACTTTGTGCATTGAATGCGTGACAATGACGGCAGCTGTCGATATTAAGCCGTTAACTATAATAAAATCTGAAAAAGTAGACGGTAAGTGTTCTAATCGTTTTCTCATCCTTATTGTTTTGCGTATTCGTCACTTGTCAGTCAGTTATGAGTAACTTTTTTGCATATACCGAGATAATGTCTATGCATTGCAATCGAGATCATGTAACATACAGTCATGATTTGATGTCAGGCAGAAATTTTCCGAAACTCGTTGCAACATCAAATGTTTTTGATCAGCGAGTGATAGACAGGTATAACAGCCTGCACGCGGCGCTCCAGATGTGCCAGCCGTTGATTCAAATGGTAGCCTATACAAAAAGTCTTTATTATGTAGCCTAATATATTAATTATAGCCTAATGGTTTTTACACAGCTAAGTGAGCACACGTAGTTTACTCCTAGCCTAATTTCAGCCAAGTTAGTAAATATGTTTGATATGTGGTCACAATTGTAACCAGTGAGGAAAACTGCTTAGCTGTTCAATAAGACCCAACAGAACGTTGCATACAATAGACTAAGATAATGTTGTATTATCAGGCAGTTGTGGGAAAAGGATATCAATTAATACTCTAATACATATATTTTACTTTTTATTGCATTTGTTTCCCCCCTATTTTCTTCCATTTTTATTATGTTAATCACCCAGATACATATTGAGATTGAATCTTTTTTTTTTTTTTTGTCCCAATGGCCACAGATATGACCACAGACACGTTTGCATGTATTCTGATCATGAGACAGCAATAATACATTATAGGAATCGGATTTGTTAAACAGTGTGTGTATTATGACATCTTTTACATGCTTTCTTTTATGGAGCTTTCAGATTGGAATTAAACAGCTCTGGTCATGTGACTACGTCCACCAGTCATGTAAAAATGTTCTTATGAAATGTAGTCAGTCCTCAGTTTCATTTATTGATTACAACTCTGTAAACTCTCCGGCAGGATTAAATGGGTTACATACTGTGATGTTGCATTAGTATATTCCGACCATATTGTTGTCTTTTCAATCATTTGAACAGCTATACTGATGTTATGTGCAAAACTGGACTCTTTTATTGCTACAGTGCAAGAATGAGAGCAATGTAATAATTTAGCAAATACTGTACATGAAGAGTCTGACACCAGACTGATGTTGACTGCCACACATGGCCTCTCATGACATGACACACTTTACCGCTTTACCTAGTCGTGTTTCATTTCATGCATGACCAGCAGACTTGCATTTTAACTACAAGAGTGATTATTTTCGTGTCAAGCTGACTTTCAGAACATTGCGTCATCTAATGTGCTCGTGCATTTAGTGTAAGTTAATTATTTGGTCATTGGCTGAGCCCTGGGCTTTCTTTCCTTTTATGCAGATATTATGGGCCTCCTTGTTACTGCGTGATTAAAGTTTCATCTTTCTTTCTTTCTTTCTTTGTGTTTTGATGTGAGTGTGCTTGTGCAATCTCACGCATGCATGCCATGGCAGGGAATTTCCCTTTTGGCTAAAGAGTGGTCAGTGTCAACTGAATGAAGTTTGTCATGATGCTGCTTCACTGTCCATTCATACCACATCCATTAACCTCCACCGCTGACCCAGCCCGTCTCAGGAGAGGCCGCATGCCTGACCAGGGCGAAGGGAGGGAGAGCGGGAGGAAAGATGCCATGCTGGTTAAGCAGTCAGCAGTCTCACACTCCCCCTCTGTACTCCCGAGGACTGGAATAAAGTGACGAGCAAGCAAGTGGGATGTTAGCACATGCCTCGGCCCGGTGGACTCTTTAAGAATATGACCCTCTTCTTTGGCTCGGAAGGGCAGGGTGAGTTCAGTGGCCGCTAGTTTCCCTACGATAAAATGCTGACTGGCTTCGACCACAACTGGTGGTTTAACACGCAGAATTCTGACTCCCAACCTCTCAAACACACACACACACACACACACACACACACCACCAGCTGTTCATACATCATGGAAAAAGGCATTCACCTTTGCAAGCATGTCAGGACAAAAGCTAAAACATAATGACTCCAGCGTGATGTGCAAGATGTGATATGAATCATTACCACGCTTGCATATTCTCGCATGCAGAAGGGCCTGCTCTCTTTTCACAAACAGTCGCAGAGTTTACATTTACAAATGCACTGGCACATGACCACTCGCAGACACTCTCCAACATACATGCACAAGCTTTCTCCTCACATGGAAAAACAGTTGTGCGCTGTTAAAAAAAAGTGCTGATACTTGCAGTGGAGGTTGCCAAAATATCGTGCTATCTTGAAAAACAATTTCTCAAGACGAGCTCCCTTGAGTTCAGTCAATCGTGAATGTTCAGGCCAGGGTGAATGGAGTGCACTGGCAAAGACTGTACAATCCACGTAAGACCTGTTTACTGCTGGTCTGCTACTTTAGTCTTCTGGAAGAATGGATATGTGCACCATTTGGGTCCCATGTTCAGTGCAAAGTGCTTGTAGGAGTGTAAAGCTCTGGCAGACTGGCACAAATTATAGTTTCTAGCATGCATGCGTCGTTAATGCGGAGAGGCCGTAGAGATTAAGCACCTGATCCCAGTTTGTATTGGGTCTTAAATCAAGACAAGCGAGCTGTGTCTTGAAGACAACGACTAGTGCAAAAACAAGCCGCCTTCCCCGCCCCCAATTTGCTTTTTGACTCTGTTTATACAAAAGTGATGAATGGTTGAATTCAATCAAGAATCACACAAAAGTTGTTTAGAGTTCAGTCAAGATTATCTGATTTACCCCGGATACATGTAGTGCATGAAGAGACAATGGGACCTACACAAGAACAGGACAACCTCGATAAACACACTTGCATTCATTAATGGAATTGCTAAAATAAGATTGTGTATGGAGTTAGCACAAAACAATTTCCAAGAACACACAGATCCGTGGAAAAGCTTGACCGCACGACCTGCTAAGGAGCCCACGTCATTCACAAGTTTGAATGTTAGAACGGCCTTATGGTCAAAGATAAACCCATGTAACATCTGCTACCAAAATGGCTAATGCTGCTCCTACCCAGCCAGTTTTGCTGTGCCAGAAGTCTTCAGCATCTTCTGAGAGCATTGCTTTGAAAGGGGCGTAGTCAAAATGCTTGACAACGGGGTCACTCCTTTCATCTTTGCCCAAAGACTACTTAGCACAGTGAAATGAGTCAGCAACAACATGAGAGACAGCCAGGGGTCACCTCCCACTCATTTCGGCCTAGAGAAATAACCCTTGATGAGGATATCTGGTCTTCACTTTCTCCTTCTTTCTCACTCTGTGTCCGTCTCAGGGTTCAGTGAATGACAGGAATGTCTGAGGATTGGGTGGGCTGCCCATTGCCCACGTTTATCTGATTAAGACACTGCACTCTCTCTCATCCCGATCCCCTGCTAGGCCCCGCTTGTACACCCGTGCTTTAGATACCACACACTGAGCACTAGTGCAGAAGTATACAAGTGTGAAGAGATGATAATTCAAGCAGGAAGTCATCTTCAAGGGTGTATCTGAAAATGGCCTGGATTCCCGAGTTACATAACAGATAGGTTTCTGTAATGTCAGACTCTTCACGCTTTCACCAGGCCTAAGCATGCCTTGCTTACCTGACAGCTGTGCAATCACGGATCTGGGTAATCAAGGCTAGTCTGATGTGGGTCTCTGATCGCAACTTTTATAATTTTTTGAACAATCGTTAATGCGGAGAGGCCGTAGAGATTAAGCACCTGATCCCAGTTTGTATTGGGTCTTAAATCAAGACAAGCGAGCTGTGTCTTGAAGACAACGACTAGTGCAAAAACAGGCCGCCTTCCCCTGCCCCCAATTTGTTTTTTGACTCTGTTTATACAAAAGTGATGAATGGTTGAATTCAATCAAGAATCACACAAAAGTTGTTTAGAGTTCAGTCAAGATTATCTGATTTACCCCGGATACATGTAGTGCATGAAGAGACAATGGGACCTACACAAGAACAGGACAACCTCGATAAACACACTTGCATTCATTAATGGAATTGCTAAAATAAGATTGTGTATGGAGTTAGCACAAAACAATTTCCAAGAACACACAGATCCGTGGAAAAGCTTGACCGCACGACCTGCTAAGGAGCCCACATGTCATTCACAAGTTTGAATGTTAGAACGGCCTTATGGTCAAAGATAAACCCATGTAACATCTGCTACCAAAATGGCTAATGCTGCTCCTACCCAGCCAGTTTTGCTGTGCCAGAAGTCTTCAGCATCTTCTGAGAGCATTGCTTTGAAAGGGGCGTAGTCAAAATGCTTGACAACGGGGTCACTCCTTTCATCTTTGCCCAAAGACTACTTAGCACAGTGAAATGAGTCAGCAACAACATGAGAGACAGCCAGGGGTCACCTCCCACTCATTTCGGCCTAGAGAAATAACCCTTGATGAGGATATCTGGTCTTCACTTTCTCCTTCTTTCTCACTCTGTGTCCGTCTCAGGGTTCAGTGAGTGACAGGAATGTCTGAGGATTGGGTGGGCTGCCCATTGCCCACGTTTATCTGATTAAGACACTGCACTCTCTCTCATCCCGATCCCCTGCTAGGCCCCGCTTGTACACCCGTGCTTTAGATACCACACACTGAGCACTAGTGCAGAAGTATACAAGTGTGAAGAGATGATAATTCAAGCAGGAAGTCATCTTCAAGGGTGTATCTGAAAATGGCCTGGATTCCCGAGTTACATAACAGATAGGTTTCTGTAATGTCAGACTCTTCACGCTTTCACCAGGCCTAAGCATGCCTTGCTTACCTGACAACTGTACAAATATGAACCCTGGCAATCAAAGTTAGTCTGATGTGGGTCTCTGAGGTTTTATAGTTTTCTGAACAGTGTACGAGTCACTTAAAAAATAATTTACAAATGTGAGCGTTTATAAGTGACTGGATTCATATTTGACACTCAAAATTGATTCACCAGACTCAGGCCTTGAGGCTACGATGAAACCCAGTTAGATCAGAGTGTCTTGCCTACTGTTGTGAATGACTCCACCTTCACAAAATGTGCACTGGCTACATGACTCCCCTGTCAAAAATTCTTTCTGGTGAACACACGTTTTTATTGTTCCCTTTAAAGTGTAGTCATCAAAGGGTGAAGGGAGGTCCTAGCCTTTATTCCTTCAAGTTATTGGCACAAGCTAATGGCACAAACAAACGTTTTCCGAATCGTTACATGCGTCAGAATGACTGAACCATACGTCAGCGCCGTTTTCGCTGTAGCATACTTGTGAAAGCCGTTCTGACCCACTTCACTGTGTTGCAGTTTGAAGTCTTCCCAATAGTTATCTCTGGCCCTGCTTCTCTGAACTTCAAAAGACCAAAACAAAAGCAAAAGACACAGCATGTCCCAGAGCAGGGAAGAAATGACAACCATGGTGTATTTTTCCCAGCATTTTACAGCACCCATTTTCTCCCCTGTGTTCCATGTCTGTCTTTTTTTTTCCCTGCGTTTGTCTTTCTACCGTCTGCGGGCCACATGGGCTCTCGCCTTGTCTCCCTGGCCCCTGATGTGGCGTCTTCCTAGTGCTGTCTTCTCATCCCTGCCGCGTGCTACAGGCTAATTACTGAGTCACAGCCCCTGCCGTGCTGACTCCAGCACCCACCCCTCCTCCCATAAGACATTAGCCCTACCCAGTCCCTCCGAGGCTCTCTGGTGGGCTCTAGACCGCCTCCTGGGTGGTGGGAGGCCCTTGAGGTGAGTAAGCCAGCCGAACCGGTGCCTGTCTTTCTATGCCACTCTTGTTTTTCCACTGTGGCTGTTTTGCAGATGTCTACCGAGTACAACAGAGAGACACGGAGAGGGTGGCGTCAGATCTGCTTTTGAGATCAGAGCTGCATCCCGACTGGTTCTGGCTACGTGTCTCACAACTCAGGGAGGTAGAGGAAGACCTGTTCCCAGATTCCATTCTCCCATCGGTGTATGCGCTTTCACCAAGTCACCTGTTTTAGGGCTCAGTAGTCGGAGCTGGTTTTGTAATTATACTACTTTTGTCTCACCTCTTTGAACACAGTTCCTACCTTAGAGGCACATTGACGGAACGCTCCTGGCTACCACTCCAGTTACATGTGACATCTTAAGCTTTCTCTGAGGTCCAGGTGTTTGGCTGTAGCTAGCTTTACCGTCTCTCTCGGTTTGTGAGTGCCACTTGATGTACAGCTGAATAGAAGGCACATGATCCTTGGCAGTCACAAGAGCCGACACAGCTGGGACTCTTTCTCGTTCAACCTTCTCCCCGCTATCTACATATTTCTGACAGAGAGGCTCTGCTCGGGCGATTTAGGGACGAGAGCAGTTAAAGGCTTTCTGTGTAGGTGTCTGGATTAGATCCAAGAGGTGGACGTAATGAGGGCTAGTCTTTGACATTGTTCACTTACACCAGTTGAGCATGGTGGGATTTGACAACTCGCCCCTTTCTCATAAAACCATGGTTAGTCTTACTTTTTTTTTTAGCTTGTGTTAGTGTTCAAATGGAACGTGTTTAAAACATTTTAAACTATTCCTTACACAGTTGAGAACTGCAGAGACTTATTTTGGCATGCCTCTCTGCTTCTGCTTTCTGACACATTTGATGTTGACATTTGTCACCATAGAGGATTTTACTGAAATGATGTATCACTTTAGTCACTTTGATGATGCGTTAGCACACCGTTATGCTCTGCGGTACAATGTGGATTTCAGAACAGTTGCATCTTCTCTTCCAGCCATCCATTCATCTATTTTGGGCTCGTGAACTCTTTTCATTGCTACATCTGTGGTACTTTTCTCTGCGTACAGTTAATTGTGTAATTGGTCCATTTAGAACTGAACTCAAAGGCACGCTGGTTTTTAGGTCACAAATACAGAACAAACTCACACAAAAATCCCATCCACATTAGCGATTGTAAAACAAGGCAGGAATGTGTGGCACGATACATAAAAACAATGCGGTCTGTGGGGAATTCATTTACAGAGAATGCATCTGTTGGCCATCGGCTGGTTCCACAATAGCAGAAACCATTGGCCATTAGCTTGCTAATTGCATGCAGAACTTTCCTTCCTTCATTTCCCTGATACTGAAAGCTGCTTGCTCATAAACTTAGCTCAGGCATGACCGACTACTCATGTATAAATTCGCTTTGATCAGAAATGCTTTTGGACGTATTTATATCCAGTGCTGGAAACATGTCTTTTTTTCCCCCTCTTGAAGTGCTGCAATTTCAGGTACACTAAGAGAAGGTTATTGGAGGTTTCTAGGAAGAATGTCGCTGAAAGAGTAAACTGTTTGTCAAGATCATCATTTGTTTGTTCAGAAACCTAAACAGTATGATTCACTGATCCAAGTGCACTCGTGGTCTTTTAGAGGTGTTCACTCCTGCAATGCAGTTATGCTCTCACAATTTGCATGCTGCAAACCGCCTCCGCTTTACTTTGCAGTATGCATAGTAGCATCACTATACGTATCTCTGTAATGCATAGCATGACAATTGTGGGCTTGAGTGCAGACAAAAAAGCAATTGATCAGACCTAGGTTGTGGTAGTACAAACATTTCAGATCTAGGTACAATAGTGCTGCCATTTCAACTCTACCAGATTGAACAATTAAATGCACAACTGTATGAGCAAGAACTTGCCAAAGAATGCCCAATTTTATAGTCGTCCTGTCAGTAATTGTGATTTGAATTCTTAGTGTGACACACTGATGGCGATGTGTGTGAGACCATCTAGTGAACCCGGAGCACCCACTGGCTGGGTCTCTAAGAATAGCCGCAGTGTTCCAGGGCAGGAAAGCCCCCGATGCGTGACCCGGGAAGGGTGGACGGACTCTGCGCTGCCTTTGGGAGCTCAATCGTGGGCCGCTGCTATTCCTGTCTCGGCCCGGCCCGGTCTGCATGCTTTCAGATGGAAATCTAAACAGTGGGCAGAACAAGCACTTCTCTCACTGGATCCCCCACCCTTGACCGTGCCTTGTTCAGCGTGGACCTGCTGCGTGAATGGCCCTCCTTCATGCGGGCCAGGTTTAACAGTCTCGCTGTCACATACTCTGAGAAAGATAGGGCAAGAGATAAAGAACTGAAGGTGTTTTATGGGCCACCCTGACACCCTGCTGCGACCCACAACTTTTTGCGGGTTTGAGGATTTTTTGTTGTTGTCATTTGTACTGAGCTCCATATCCTCAAATAACTTTATTTTCAGACTGGAATTTGATGCCATATGCAACTCCGAATTGAAACAGAAAGAAAGTGAAAAAGGGAAATGCATGTGGGGTAAGATATGCTAATTTGACATACAGACACAAATGCACCAAGCACAAAAAAGCATTCAGAAGCTCAAATACCATCCACTCAGACTACTGAGGGACTCAAATGAGCTATTTGGCTTTTATTACACACCCACTCGCTGTCTCTCACGCATTTAAGACAGACCCCTCACACACATAAATGCAGACACACAGTTCTTTGAAGTGTGTCTAATCTTAGAAAGGTCCATTAACACTATCATCAATGTGTTATCTGTAAGGCTGTAGATCGGCCCTGGCTAGATGTGTGCATGTCATTAAATCACTGAACATACTATGGAAAACACTGAATGGACTGGATGGGTGGAGACCTGTGGTCATGCCAGCAGTGATGTCATCCCTTCGGGGACTCCATTCATGTTGTCTTGGATGCTCTCACATTACAGATAAGTGAATCATCCGACCCCTCCCCACCACACCCGACTCCATGAGACCACCAGGGCCTCATGACCATAATCACAATTTCACAGCCCCCTGACTAATGCAGAGAGCTCAGACACTCATACACACCACCCAATACACACCTGCACTGTTCCTGTACGATATGAAGGTTTTCCATGTGGGACTGTATGGCTGAGACCCAAGATCTTTTGGGCCTTATGCGGTTCAGTAGACAGAATTATCAAGGATTCATATCTACGGCTATTAGCGATGTATAGTTACTCTCTATGGGAATTAATACAATGTTCATTTCATTCATTGAACTTCACATGCTGAGCTAATGATTCATTTGCGTCACAGAATAACATAATGTTGGAACGTCTAGCCTATGTGATCAACTGTGCGAAGCTGATTTGAAGTTTAACCACCGTTTAAAGCTACACTTTAAAAAAAAAAAAAAAAAGGTTGCTAAAAAAGTTTCTAAATTTCAGGGAACATTATGAGAGTGTAACTCTTGAAATTAATACTTAAAGCCTTTATGTATAGTGCATTATAAAAGTAGTTTTAATGCATTAATCATGCCTTGTAATGCACCTTATAATGCATTGTACAGTCTCATGAATAATTGTAACCACAGTTAATACATTATAGCACTTATCAGTTCATTGTTACGCTATGCATTTTAAATTCGGTTATAATTATTTACGACAAGATATAATGTATTACAACGCACATTATGAATAATTATAATGCATTATACCCTTTAATAACCCTTGATAATGCATTACACATAAAAGCTTTAAGTAAACATATTGTGATGAACATTAAACTAAATATTTGTCTTCAACAAAGAAGACACAGAGGTTAAAATGAATCGGTGAATCGTTTATTTGATCAAATTAATTGTATATTTGATCAGTGAATCATTTATTTATAAGAACCATGAGAATGGACCGATTCTCTTAAATGAATTGGATTCCAGTGGAATATTAGAGTAGGCAGAGCGTGTTTGATTAAGTTTGTTATACTATTTGATGACTGTGATTGGCCAATGATAATGTTAACGTTTGCATTCACAGAATGCATCTTCCAGCTCTTTCGGTAGTAACAGCATACAGATTAAATCAGTTGATGTAAAGTTTTTCTTTGAAAACGGCACACTATCCTTTCGCTTCAGGTGTCTTTGCAGATATGTGGTTTTCTCCAAGTGAGCATGCAACATAATGCAAGTGAACCGTACAGATACGTTAGACATTAACAGAAAGATAAACTCAGTGTGTGTTTTTCCTGATTTGATTTTCAGAGCATCCTCTGAACCCTGAATGCACAGATTGAGCTGTTATTTGGATTTTAATTTTATCTAAATATGCAAGCATTTCAAATCACCAGGTTGCTAATTTTCTTGTTCAGAAAGCACTTTGCATTTGTCACTAATGCAAAAACCTCACTGCAATTTGTGTGTTATATTTTGTTCAAACAAATATGCTTTCTTTATGAAGAAAAACAAGGAACATTTGTACTTTACCAGGGTCTTCCGGAGTCTTTCTTGCCAGTTCTGGCCTTGTATCACATAATGTGAAAATGGGCCTCTTCTGCATTGAATGAAGCCGCTGACGTCCAGCTGGTAGAATGGCCTCTCTAATGCGCAATTAAACACTGTAAATGGAGCCTGCAGCAGCTCGCTCTAATCGAATCACACGAGAGCACTGCATTGTTCTTCTCCATTTAGACGCTCCGCATAATGCATCACCGCAAGTCCTTCCCTGTTTGAGTCAAGCGGGGTTGCAGATCGGGAGAAGGAGGTTAGGAGGGACAGCTGTTGTGCATTCCTGGCTGGGTTATGTCGTGATGTGGATCGACAACAGCGAGCGTGAACCCATACGACGCCCAGGGCTGGCAGTTTCAAAACCGCACAGAGATGCCAGAACATCTGGGTGTCAGTAGAAAAGCAGTCACAGACGGCGAAAAAAAGTCTGGAGTCTGGACTGTGCATTTAACTCCCGGACAAATTTATTGTGCTTGAGTCACAGGCGGGCGTTTTTTGACGGCCAACCAGTAATAGAATAACCACCCCTCACCTTGATCGCATTACTGTCCCTTCCGCAAATTCTTCACTCGGCTTTGTGACATTCTTCAAACCCTCAGGTTTATTATTATTTTTTTCCTAGCCCCTCTTTTCTCTCGAACCGCCACCCTGGCAGTCCTAATTGGATCAGTGGAAGTCATCGGGCACTGTTTAAATCATCAAAGCCCTCTCTGTGTCCTGCCGGGTGCCCACGAGCAGAGAGGGCGAGCTTTCCAACACTGAGCTGCCTGTTTGACGCCCCGCAGCCTGCTGTGACATCATCACCCCTCTGCCACGACCTCTGACCCCTAACTATTGACCCCTGCCAACAGAGGCCCATCTGTCTGTGGCTGGAGGCGGAAATGGGACAGCTTGCTGGGCGGAAGGGATTGTGGGAAGGTGGTCATCGGTGTAGAATCTGACCTGTGACACACACTCAATGTGTTTGCACACTGTCCTTGGCTCTGAGCAGCAGTCTAGGAGGTCAGGTTGGAGGTGGTCGATGTGTGTAGGCCTAACTACGTTTAAGTGTGTGACGCTGATGCTGCTGGTTTTCTCGCTGTATATGATGATGTAGTTCTTCACACTGATTGACTTGCTTTTGGTCAGGAGAGTAGTTTTGTGGAAATTAAACTCTGAAATCTGGAATTTTATGTAATGTTTGTGAATGTAGTATATATTTATTTGTTGTTGTTGGATTTTGAGTTGGAATGTAGATTTTTTTTTTTTTTTTTTTAAGTTTATTTTGTGAAATGTAATATCTGTTTTAATTAATTTGGCTTGATTTATTTAATTTTACTAATTTAATTTGAAGTATTTTACTTATTTTTATTTTATGTTATTTTTATAAAATGTATATTTTGTGAAGTAATGCAGTGTGCTTTCTTTGATTTAGCTTGACTTTATTTTACTTTAAGTAAAAACAAGTAAAATAATTAAATTAGGTACAATTGTCATATTTTTATTTATTTTCATTTGATGTGACTTGATTTTATTATTTTATTTTGTAAAATATTGTATATCTTATAACAATGGAGTATGCTTTATTTTTTTCCCTTTATTTTGTTACTTGTTTTATTTTACTTCAAGTAAATAAAATAAGAATAAAAATATATATAATTTATTATAATTGATTTAGTGTTACTTTATTTTAGTGAAATGTAGTATAATTTATTATTATTAATTATTAATTTATTATTATTTTGAAATGATTCTGTTTTACTTATTTTTTTAATTATTTTACATATTTGTTCTGTTTGTTTGTTTGTCTGTCCCTAATTGAGTTGTTTTTGCCCGTCAGATAGTTTTTGTGAAATATAGTATATCTGCAGTTAATCTCAGATTATGTGATGACATATTTGTCTGTGTTTGGTCCAACAGATCTGGAGTGTGCGGATGTTCCGTTATTGACTCCAGGAAGTAAAGAAATGATGTCACAGGCTCTTTTGGCCACATTCAGCGGCTTCACCAGGGAGCAACAGCGGCTCTCCATCCCAAAAGGTCCAACTCTAAAGCACTTCCATCTCTCTAACAACTCTCTAGAGTAAATCCTATATCCATATTTCTGTAGCTCTCTCTCTCTCTTTAAGGGAAAGTTCCTGGCTCAGTATTCTGTAGCACTAGGCTGCTTTTGAAATGACCACAATCAGATTGCCTAAAAAGAGATCTTGCTAGATAGGCACATGGCACTCTGAAGCAGCAGAGGTTATGAATTATGCTTCCCAAACTATGTCAGACCGCAGGATGGCTTTACTTGCTGTGTCTGGGGAGGCTGAAGTCTGTGTCGGGTCTGCGTCTGTCTGGAAATGGCAGTTGTGGAGCATGTGCACAGCCGAAAGAGATAGAGAGAGAGAGTTGGTGTCTAGGTCTGTAGGCTAAAATTACAGCTGTTTCAGTTCCTCTCATCATGGCATCACATTTGTAACGAAATCAGCTGATAATTTCACATGAGCCACTGGACCTGCGACTAAAGTATTGCATGCATCAGCACTACAACTACACAATATTAGTGTCTTGATAGTTTATGGGCATAGCATGCTTGCGTAAACATTTTTGTAGTTGATCATGAAACAGAAACATACTGTTTCTTTCTTTAATATGATGCAATCTGTACAATATATGTAATAAATTAATTGCATCTGTCCCTTTCTCTTCTCTAGACCCCCGTCAGTGGACAGAGGCCCATGTTAGAGAATGGTTGACCTGGACAGTAAATGAGTTCAGTCTGAAGAATGTGGACTTTCATAAATTCAGCATGGACGGGGCCAATCTCTGCGCACTGGGCAAAGAGCGATTCCTGGATCTGGCACCAGACTTCGTGGGCGACATCCTCTGGGAGCATTTAGAGATGCTGCAGAAAGGTAGACATCCTCACAGCCTCATGAAAGACACCGATCATCAACCACTGTTATTGTACTATCATTGAGATACAGTTATATATATATATTTTTTTGTTTTCATTTTAATTTATTAGAGAATTTTATTTTTTGTAATTTTGTTGTGTTTTTGTTATTATTTTTTATTTTTTATTATTATTATTTTGTGAATATATCTGTATTTTTAAGTTTTAGGGTTAGTTTTAGTTATTTAAACGGGTCATATGATGCTATTTTAAAGATCATTATTTTGTGTATTTGATGTAACAGAATATGTTGACATGTTTTAATGTTCAAAAAACACATTATTTTTCAAATACTGTACATTATTGTAGGTCCTCTATGCCCCGCCTCTCTCAAACGCTTAGTTTTCTACAAAGTCCCTCCTTCCGACAAGCGCAGTCTGCTCTGATTGGCCAGCTGACCTAGTATATTGTGATTGGCCGAACACCGCAAGCACTCGTCGGAAATGTAACGCCCCTTAACATAATCGCGAGCTTCATCTTTCAAAATAAATGTAAAGACAGTAAATAATGTCATTAGTTTTACCATCAGTTAAAGCCCGAAAGGGGAACAGACACAGTAATGATGCAGTACACAAGCCGCGGTTAAGACAGCTGACTCTACTGTGATGTGAAAGAATATCTCTGGTTTTGAGACTTTAGTCTTTGCAACTTCAGGGATCTTATCTATGCACAATCAGCTTGTAACACTCCAAAGAGAAAGGAAAACTTGAAATCGCATCATATGACCCCTTTAAGTACTTAAACAAAAAATGAGAAATGTTGCGTTGACAGCTAGCTAAAATAATTTTTTTTTAAATATTTTATTTCAGTTCATATTTATTTTACTTCAATTTTTTAAATGTTTTAGTTAATGGTAAAAACCCTGTCTTCAGTAAAATATTATATATTTTTTAATGACAGTAATCTGAATATTAATAAATATTATATTCATATTTATTCAATTATTTTAATGTATTATTTTGATTAATTATCTGAATAATTGCAGTATTAATATATTTTAATTCATTTATTTTAATTTGATTTAGTTAGTTATGCCCACTACAGTTCATTAATCTAAATTAAAAACTTGACACATTTGAATCTTGACAGTCATAGGTGTCAGTATATGTTTATTAAAATGTGATTATAAATAGAAAATCACAAAATGCGCTATTATTATTATTATTATTATTATTATTATTTATTATTATTATTATTATTATTATTTGTCCGAATGAGCAGCTGCTTTGCGATAAATACTTTAACTTAGAAACCTCACACATTAATATAGAATTTGACAGATGTATTGTAGTCACAGGTGCGAGTATGAATACAGATCATCCCATTAGAATTTCGAGCTGTAATGTTATTTATAAAGTGACTTTTACAAACGAGTAAGATACAGTACAGTAAATCATCTTTAGCAGATTTTATCATCTAGATTTTATAGCGTGTGCTGTGATTTTGTCATGTTAAATGCTGGAAGCATGTATGAGGTTTCACATTTTGAAAGCCTGTAAAGTAAATTCCACTCAGACATGCATATCAAAGCAGTTTCTGAAGCACTACCTCGCACAATCTAATCTGCTACATAACAAGCTGAGCTTTGAAAGTGTGCATGGGTTCAGTGATGTGTGTCATTTTCTTCACACAGAAGACCTGAAGCATTTCCCTGTCAACGGTCTGACCTCCAGTTTCCAGGAATCCCGCTACCCCTCCGACTACTTCTTCAGTGAGTATCTGTCCTTTCTTTCAGTGCACGTCATCACTACACGTTCAGCACTTCAGTCATGACTCTACTCGATGTTGTCTGTAAGTGAAGGCAGTTAAAGAAATCCTTAACACCTGTCTTAAAGGAAAAGTTAATTCATCAAATCTCTGTATTAACTTACACTTATGTCATTCAATTCTCACTTTATTAATACAAAGAGAGTTGTTGCTGTCAAGCTTAGTACTAGAAAAGCACCATGAAAGTTGTTTGAGTTCATTCAAAGTGATACATGTCTTTGAAATGTATTGCAGTGATATTAAAACTGATTATTTTCTTGTTATTAACAATCATGTCGCTGATGTTAATTATTTTGCCTAAATAGCTCAAAAAAATAAAAATCAGTTGTTTTCAATGCTACAAGTGAATTTAAGCATCACAACATTATAGTATACAGTATGAAAAATGGATATTTATTTTATTTTTGTTAAGTACTAGTATCAATATGAATTTTAAGTAAGAATTAGATGATTGCAGAAGTACTCCAAATGTAAATCATGAAATAAACACAATTCAAAATCTAATATTGACCGATACAATAAACAATCTCAAATTTTAGCCGATATTGTGTACCGATATTGTAACTGATACATCACGCATCACTAAATTTAAGTCATTATTCACTGATAATCTTTTCCTCCACTGCAGATCTCAAATTAAACATGGTGACTGTAGTGTAGATTAGTGCAGATTAATTAATCAAAGCCTTAATTAATTACTAATGACCAAACATAATCACATCATTTTGTAGTGCAGACCAGTTTTTTTTCAGTATCACTGATATACTATTATAGTTTGTGTTGATTTTCTATATATTTTCTATATATTATAGTTTTTTTTATTTTTATGTCTTTATAGTTTTTATTAAGTTTTATTTTTAGTTATTTAGTGCTTCAAATAAAAAATAAAATAAAATGTTGTTTTGGCATTTAGCTGAAATAAAAATGTTTTTTTTTTATTTCAGATAATATTTATTTAATTACAAGTAAAGCCCCGTTCACACCAAGAACGATAACTATAAAGATAACGAAATTAGCATCCACACCAGCGAACGATATCATCTGTAAACGCACGCTCCTCTGCTGCTTTAAATTCTCAAACTCGTTATAGCAGGATGGATTCTGATTGGCTGTCAACGGTTTTTTATCGTTCATCAGCTGTCAAAAATCGTTCTGAAAGTGATTCCAACGATATCGTTTCTCTGTGCCTTTGTCGTTATAGTTGTGGTGTGGATTCTGCTATTCTATAATATTGAAAACGATTTTAAGAGCTATATCTTTATCGTTATCTTTATAGTCATCGTCCTTGGTGTGAACGGGGCTTAATGCATTTTTTTATTTTTTTTTATTTTTAGATAATTATAATAATAGCCCTGGTGCCGACAGTCTTTGGTCACGATGTCATTTTATGGAAAAGGTCTATGCAAATACTATTCTTTTTCAAATTGTCTTCTCTTTGTCGTTCTTTCCTCCAGACTATGGCATTGAACATCCTCAGTGTGTCCCTCCGTCAGAATACTCCGAGCCGAGCTTCATCACCGAGTCCTACCAGACCCTCCACCCAATCAGCTCAGAAGACCTGCTGTCGCTCAAATACGAGAGCGAGTATCCCAACGTTATACTGCGAGACACGCCTCTCAATCCACTGCAGGGAAACTACTTCTCAGTCAAACAAGAAGTTGTGTCACCCGACAACATGTGTGTGGGTCGCATTAGCAGAGGTGAGTATGGGCCAAAGGTCACGTGTTTCGATGCAAATGAAACCGCGTTCATGCGAGGTCTAGATTAATACGGCATAAACGTTCGGGAGGCGAAAGCTAATTCCTCTCGTCTTAGATGCGTGTTTACCATCTCCCATCGAGGCTTAAATTGATCCCCATCGCCCCCACAGTGATCAGCAGTGTGTGGTCTCCAAAACGCCGCTCTCATCTCGCATTACTGCAGTTATGAACACATTGCCAGGGAATGAAGTAGACCGTTGGGTTTGTTTGTGGTTCTATCTTACACCATCTCGAGATGCTCTCAACTGCGGTGGGGAAAAAGGAGAGAAAAACAAAGCTGTTTGCTTCAAAGTGAGAGATGTTTGAAGCCACAGAGCGCTGGTAGCTGTCTTTTGTGTGAAGGCATCTGCGTGAGGTTACGTTACTGGGGTACGAGGTGTTTTTGTGAACCTTAGGTTCTCGTAAGGAGCGAGAGGTGTAAAGCGTGAAAAGAGCGTTCCGGTTTCTCATGAAGTAACTTTACCTCACGTACGTCTGGTTTCACTCCCGCTCGTCGAATAAAAACAGCCCGCCTGTCTAACCATTGTGCAGCTGAACAAATGATCGCAATTTGGATTGGACGTTGAGATTTGTTAAAGTCGCTTGTATATTTTTGAACAACTCAGAGATTTGGGTTTTCGCCCTCTAGGTACGCACTGTGGAGTAAATCCCAGCTTCGGCAGCGGCGCTGTGTTTCTCCTGCATGGGAAAGTATTTGTGGTGCCACCAAACTCGCATGTGGCGTCAATTTTTCAATTGAGGATTTCAGGATCAGTCCCAGCTCTGTATTATCTTTCATTCTGTAATTGGCATTCGATCGAGACCAGGCCTTTTATCTCCAGCTTGGCCAAAAATAGAGAAGCAGTTTGTTTTGATTTTCGTCCAATTAGAGAAAACCCAAATATTTCCACATGGAAATCGTGTAAGAGAAACACCGTGTGGTGTGGACTGCTTGTGAACTTCTCTGGCTGGTGTAGCTGCCAAACTTTGCACCTTCTGTAACCAAAGACATTGGGTTCATGGGTAGAAATAAAGGCCAGGGGCCTCATTATAAAAGACACGTACAATCTGATTTGTGACCCTGGAGCACAAAAGCAGTCTTAAGTCGCTGGGGTATATTTGTAGCAATAGCCAACAATACATTGTATGGGTCAAAATTATTGATTTTTCTTTAATGCCAAAAATCATTAGGATATTAAGTAAAGATCATGTTCCATGAAGATATTTTGTAAATTTCCTACTGTAAATATATTACAACTTAATTTTTTATTAGTAATATGCATTGCTAAGAACTTCATTTGGACAACTTTAAAGGTGATTTTTTTCAATAGTTTGATTATTTGTTGCACCCTCAGATTCCAGATTTTCAAATAGTTGTATCTCGGCCAAATATTGTCCTATTATCCTAACAAACCATACATCAATGGAAAGCTTATTTATTCAGCTTTCAGATGGTGTGTAAATCTCAATTTCTAAAAATTGACCCTTATGACTGGTTTTGTGCTCCAGGGTCACATTTGATCCTAAATTCCATGAAGTTTATGCTATGTAACAAGTGAGGAACAAATCAGGATTTATAAAGTAAAAATGTACGTGAAAATGTTCTTATGTGTACACCAACTCAAAAGTAAGTGTGCAAACATTTTGCATTCTTATATACTTATATGCATTCATAAATTAAAATAATCCAGCATTGTTTATTACGATATAAAGATAATATGTATTAATATTATTATATTGCAAACAGGCAACTGCTTTGTAATAAATATGTCACTTACATTAATTCAATAATTATACACTTCCTGAAAATATATATATATATTTTTTTTTTTTTACATTTCAGAAATTGTTGTACATTCATATTTAGGAACAGTTCAGTGTTTATATTATTATATTTTACATTTTAATTTAGTTGTGTTTTTGTCTCTATATGGATTTTATTATTTTTTTTTTTCAGGTTTAGTTCTTTTATTACATCAACTTACATCTATTTTATTTCATTTAGCATTTTTAATTTTGATTTAGTTTTAGTTAACTATAATGGAACATTTTTTGCATGTCTTTATAAATGAGGATGCTGATCTTTAAAGGAAAAGCCTGTTGGTTTTAAAAGTCACCATACTACTGTTATACGCTTTTATTTTTTATTTTTATTTAGATATTTAGAAGAATGTCCATGCTCCTCTTTTCCATACAACATGCATTCGATCAAAACACTGTCTGTTTGAATATGTGGAATGACAATTGACTGTGGATGATGTTTAATAACAGTGAAATCTTCATCGCAGGTAAGCTGGGAGGTCAAGATTCGTTTGAGAGCATTGACAGTTTCGAGAGCTGCGACAGACTGACACAGTCCTGGAGTAGTCAGTCGTCATTCAACAGCCTACAGAGAGTTCCCTCCTACGACAGCTTCGACTCGGAGGACTATCCCACCGCACTGCATGGACACAAACCAAAGGGTACCTTCAAAGACTACGTACGAGAGCGCTCGGAACTCAGCAAGGACAAACCGGTCATCCCGGCGGCTGCACTCGCTGGCTACACAGGTCAGCATTAACCTGCATTCAATCATTCACCGCTCGTGTACACAACCTACTAATGCAATAAACCCAAATGAGTCAGAATTCAAATAAGCACAAGACAGAAAGCCAGCGCCTTGAGACATAGCCTAGTTTCACAGTCAGACACAAGATCAGCAACAATAACTTTACGGACGTTAGTACTTTTATACTATTAAAAAAGATGTTGAGCATGGTACAATGTTATTATGTTGCATGGTAATACAATGTTTTTTGAACATGTACCATGGTACTGGCATGGTATTCTTTGAAGTATGACTGAAAAAATACCTTGATACTTTTTTTTTGGATACCATATTATTACCATGGTGTTCTTGGAAGTACCGTGAAATTCCATGTAAATATGATATCAAATACCATATCTTCTATTATTTATGATATCACATACTATATCATATAAAAAAAGCCTTATTCTATATATCAGAAATCATATGATATTGTATATCACACATATAACACAACATATCATATACTGTATATATCATATCAACAACCATGTGATGTTATTATAGCACATATCATGAATCATATTATACGTCATATTAAATACCATATCATGCAAAAAGCATCAAAAAGGCATGTCATGCTATTCCATATATGATATCATAAATCACATACCATATCATATTCTGTACACCATAGCAATAAAAAACATGTTATTCAATTTATGATATAATAGATTATATTATATATCATATTGCATACTACAGCATATACTGTACACCATATCATATTAAAAACCATGTTAATATATATATACCATACCATATCATATCAAAAAGCAAATGATATGTTATTCCTTACATCATAAATCATATTTATGTGTCATATTGCATACCATATGATATATTCCATATATCAAAAAGCATATGATGTTACTTCATATATCAAATAACATCATATCATATGATGTTTTTCCATATATATGATATCATATGCCATATCATAAACCTACTGTGACAAATGAAATATCTATGATGATGATGAAAAAAAAAAAGGAATCGGCAAGCATTTGGATTCACACGTTTGTGCATGAGTCCTGCTAATGGAGACGTCTCGTCTCATTGGTGAAGACGAGTCGTGCACCAGTTTTGAATGCATTGGTGCCCTTGGTAACCGCAGAGCCACATTTGTTACACGACTGTAAGAAAGTCATGGCAGTGTTTTTGTGAGCGGCTCGTGCACCAGCAAACACGCCACACCCCGGCCTCTTCACATCAAAACACACGTTCCCTCCCTCCCCGTCTCGTTCTCGCCACTTCTATCACTGCCTCCTGCTCTCCGTTTCTTTCTCTGCTGTTTTCATCTTGTACTCCTTATCTGCGGCCCACATCTCAACCCATTTCCCAGGTCGTCTTGGCAACAGAGGGTGCAGCACAAAGTGATAGCAGCCCTGTGCACTTAAGCTGAGAGCTCCTTTATCGGCCCATCTCCGAGGGCCTTTTTTAACCTTGTGCCATACGTCTCAAACCTACCTGCTCATATATCTGAAAACGCAACAGAAAAACACTTCCCTACACCGGCCGCACTCACTATGTGTATTTCTATTTTGGGAAGCTAAGGTTTCTTTGAACATATAAAGCACCGTTTTGCCTGTACCTGAGTTGGATGTCATCTGGAATTCTCCACACTAGATCCGAGCCCAAAAATCGAGACGTAATAGTCATATTTCCCGTAAGAGATGGTAAAATGCCTTTGTTTTTGTATATGTGCACATGCATGAGGAATACTGCAGAACATATTTCTATAATGGACAGAACTACCTGTTTTTACGAGTGTCACCGCAGTGTCAACACAACAACCGTCAGAGTTCAGAGCTGAGGTAGATAAAGCCAGCAAGTGACAAAAAAGATCTATTTGCTCGCAGAGCTCTGAGGTTTCGTGTTTGTCATCATTAATCACATACGCACGTACGAATCCATCAGATCTGTGAGGAGAGCAGCACAACCACAGCACCTCAACACACTTTCTTCAGCGATGGCTGATTTGGAACTTTACAGGGCGGCTTCCTTATAAAGACGCACGCACACATTAAAGGGACAGTTCACCCAGAAAAATAAAACTCGTACTCTTAGACCACAAAAGGACGTTTAGAAGAATGTCCATGCTGTTTTGTTTTTTGTTTTTAGTGTAAGTGAATAGTGACTGGGTGGTCAAGACAAAAAAGCACCAGAAAAGTGGCATAAAAATAGTTAATATGACAGTGTATGTCAGTCCAATTCTTCTGAAACCTTATGATAACTTTGTCTGATTACCAATTACATTTGGCATTACTGACAACTACTTTGTTAGCACTTTACAGTAGTACTGTATTAACTAACAATGAGCAATATTTACAATATTTCTACCATTTATTAATCTTTGTTAATGTTAGTTAATACAAATACAACTGTCCGTTGTTAGTTCAGGTCCATTTAATAACAACCTTTACATTTTAATAATGTATTAGATGTCAAAATTAACATGAACTAAGATTAATCAAGTATTTTTCATTGTTAGTTCATGTTAACTAATGTTAATAAATGTTACATTTACTTTTATGTATTTTGGATATTGGTCACCATTTACTTTCATTGTGTGGAAAAAGTGCAGCGTGAACATTCTGCTAAACATCTTCTTTTGTGTTTCATGGAAAAAAAAAATCATACAGATCTGGAATGACATGAGGGCGAGTATTAATTCGAATTCACACAAACATATTGATTTTAGGGTGAACTATCCTTTTAAGCTCAATGTTAGCAATCCAAGTTTTCAGAAATCCTCACCTTGTAATCATGCACTCACTTCAAGCAAAGTGGCCTTAATGTACTTTTAAAACTTTGCTGAAAGTCGGCGGTGGATTTGTCTGTCAGTCTGAGGGTTTGGTTCAGGCGTTCCCGGCCTGTTTGAGTGTAATGAGGGTGTGTTACAGTAGCCGAGCTTATGGAATGTGTTTTAATGCATTTACCTACATAAACAGATTACTACATTGATTGAGTGATTTTAGTGATTCATATGTTTAGATGGAGACAAGGAGAGGCAGACAGACAGAGAGAGAGAGAGTTAGAATGAACTGTTGAATTGTTGATGAGATAATCTGTTTCAGAATTGCATTAGTGTTTTATTGCATTATCGGCAAGGATATTTTTAGCTGGATGTAACACGCAGTGGGGAATTCACTAAGAATGAATTGTGCCTGCTGTTATCGCCATGTATTTTGCATGTGCGTTGCTTTCCCGTCCAGTGCACCAAAGGAATAATGCAGATTAGGTAACTGAATAAATGTAGCATACAGTCTATGCTTCAAGTAATTATGTGACATAATGTTACATAATGTGTCTACTGAATAATGCGCTAATCTAAAATAAGCCCTGAAAGCATAGAAATTAGGGTAGCACCAATATAAAAATTCTGCCCGATTTGCACTCATTTTATTTTGTATTATTTTATTTTATTATTTTATTTTATTTTATTTTATTTTATCCTGATGACCGAAAAATGAAAGTGATTAAAATTCTATACTACTGTTTAAATAAATGAAAAATAAAATAATTTTAAATACTTAAAGCATACTTTAAATACTCAAATACATATTTAAAATATATTTTATTTTATTGCTGATAATCAGACATTAATAAGATTCAATTTCTACATACTACTTTGTTTAAATAAATTAATAATAAAATCTTGAATTTAGGCATCACAACATTAAAATATACAGAATTATTATTTATTTATTTTTTTCAATTTGATTTGATTGATTTATATAAATTTTGCTTTGAAATGATCTAAATGTAAAAATAGAGGAAATGAGCATGCACAATTAATTATCCAATATTGATAGCCCACTGATAAATGAAAAAATCTTTAGTATTGCCAATTGATAATCAATATGGTACCTATATATTGTGCATCCCTAGAGTAGCAGGACTTCTGCAGGGAACTGAGAGTCTCTCTTCTCTTCGCTCTTGTTTTGCAGCAGGTGTGATATGAAATGACGGTTCATTTTAATGCACACAAACCACAAGATGAAGAAAAAGCAAAGCTTATCTAGACGGGTGCACGAGCTGCTCTGCTGCTGCCTACACGCTGTGAAGCCCTTGCAGGATAGATCTCGCGCTGTAGGTCAACACGACCGCATAAACCCTTCGCGCTAGTCCTTAAATCGCTTCTCACAATCAAATGCATTAAGATGCATGTTTGCAATATTTCAAATGTCTCCTTAAATATGTCACCGTGCAGAAAGGCTAAAGTCTTTAAAGTTGACCCCGGCACGGTTAGGGGCGAATACGATGTTGGAGCCTGTGAGTAAAGCCTCTCGGTTTGCAGATGTCCGCCAAGGGCTTCTCTCTCTCACACCCACACAGCCGTTCACACACATGTCGACAACACACACATGTGTGCTTTCAGATACACCCGGGCGACATGCAGACATATACATCATGGCCTGCGTGATCAAACACATTTATCCGCCAGATATTTAGCCTTGGGGCAAAATCCAAATGATGTCAGTGCTTTGGAATTCACATAAAGAGTCCAAAGCTCAAGTAGGACATGCAGTCTGAGCAGTAGCCAGTCAATACTCCATTGTGTCTCAGCCATCTCTGTTTTCATGCAGAGTGACATAAAGCTAATGGCATGTGAAACTCAGTTTGGACCGGGATACAAATGCTAACTTAATGCACTATTACAGTAGGAAATCTAGAACTGAAAAATCTAGAATGGTAATAACATGCTACTTTGATATGTGATTCATGTATGTGGTATTGAGATTTCGTTGTGAACATCCTCCGTGGGACTGTATTAAGTGGTGGTGTTGTGTCTCTGTTCAGGCAGCGGACCCATCCAACTCTGGCAGTTTCTGTTGGAGCTCTTGACAGACAAATCCTGCCAGTCCTTCATCAGCTGGACTGGAGACGGCTGGGAGTTCAAGCTTTCTGACCCTGATGAGGTGAGCGATTATACAGTAAACATACTGCCGGTGTAGTTGGGGAGGGTTAGACTCCAAAAAAGGGGGGGGGGAAAGTACTCAAATAAAAAAAAATAAAAAAAAAATAAAAATAATAATAATAATAATAAAATACAAAATAAAATATATTTTTTAATTAAATTAAATTAAATTAAAAATTAAATAATATAATAATTAAAATAAAATAAAAAATAAAATAAAATAAAAATAAATAAAAACACACAAACACAACAACAACAACAAAACTCTTTATCTGAGAGAAATTGTATTTATTTATTTATTTATTTATTTTGTTAACTGAAACCATTACAAATAGTTGCTTAAAATAAAACATTAACTTGAATAAAATAGAAACATAAATAAATAAACTTGTTTTATTTATATAAATTATTAAATAAATGATTAAATAAACTGAGCCAACATTTCTCATTTTCACTTAGTTTACTTTATGCGCTAATATAACTAAAACTGAAATAAAAAAGAAATAAAAACTATATAGACATTGTTTTAATTGTATAAAATGACAAAAACATTTCTAAAAAAACTTACATTCAAATAAATACTGAAAATATAAAAATGTAATTAAATTTAAAATATTAATACAAACGATAATATTTCAATGATACTGTAATAACACTGGCACTATAGTAATAACTGAATATATCTTTGAAAAACATGGACTTACTAAAATATCATGGCACAATTTGGAAATCATGTGGTATAACAGATTGACCAATATGTTTTTTTACATTTATATTTAATATTTATTTTTATTTTTTACAATTGATACCATGACAATAACAGACAATAAAATTTTTTTTAATGCCCATATTACCAATATTTATTAAAAAGTATATTTAAAACAATCATTAGAAAAAAAAAAAAAGAGTTATATGTATTGTATATGAGTTACATGTATATGTATACTAGTTGGGTAAATGCAAATGTTAAATAATGAGTGTGTAGCTGGCTGCTGTTCTTCACACATCAACCACACGGTGCCATTTATCAGCTGAAAACCAGCGATCGGTCTTTCTCTAGTAGCATCTGATACAATCGCTATACATTGTGTGTGTTCATGATCCCGACCTGTGTCTCTCTGACTTCTAGGTGGCACGCAGATGGGGCAAGAGGAAAAACAAGCCCAAGATGAACTACGAGAAGTTGAGTCGCGGTTTGCGCTACTACTACGACAAAAACATCATCCACAAGACGTCCGGCAAGCGCTACGTCTACCGCTTTGTGTGTGACTTGAAAAGCCTGCTGGGATACACTCCCGAAGAGCTGCACACCATGCTAGACGTGAAGCCCGACACGGATGAGTAAACTTCGGACTTTGGAAATAATAAAAAAAAAAAGTCCCTCACAGACCCTGGAAAGAAAACGGGGCGTCCATTTTTGGGTCCAATCACATTCCATCTTAACACTTAGTCGTGGTCCAGCCTTGTTTCGAGCTCACACGGGACAAAAAAAAGAGGAAGCGTCAAAACGTTCACCAAAGTTTAGAATCCGTAGACTTTGCGCGTCTGTATTGTTTATAGCTCTGCAGGAAGCGAAAACTCGAAGTCCAGGTCGACCCAGTAGCACAAACACTGGGAAGGAACAGAGGACAATGAGACGGACATGTCTTGGACTGAACGCTCCAGTTATTAAACACGTTGCCAAAATTAGAGACAAGAGGAATATCGCAGAAATATTAACGATTGAGTTTCTGTCTCCTCGCATACCCAACCACGAGGAAGAGTTCTCAGCCGGACCAAAATAACAAAAAGTGTTTTATTTTTTTGATAGTTTCTATATGTGTCAGTATTAATTTGTCGTATTGCGATGCTGTCCGGACAGAGATTGCGCCGTTTTGTACGTTTTCATATGAAGGTTTATTGAAGTCAAACTGTGCTTAGATAGTCTCTCCGCTTCTTTCAAGATCACGGTTGGTTACGGCTTGCTCTTACCTCAATGTCCATAGCTGAAAACGCAGTTTTTGATCACCAGATCAAAATAGATACCAGAGTCTCGCCCTTTTCAGTTGAAAGAGACGTAACTCAGTCAAACTGAGAGTGTGAGTGAGAGACGCAAATGAAAGCGGCCGTTGGCTTCTCAACGGTGACACGCTTGTGGTGAAAACGAGGTGTCGTTTTATCACTTGTATTAAGACAAAAGACATCAGACGCTTCTTGTCTCGGTTTGTTTGTACGTGAATGGTTTTTCATAAAGTTTTGCCTTAATATAGCACACCGTCTTTATGAACATGCTGTGTTTTCTCAAGGTTGACTGAAACTGAAATGTCACTCAACCGGGCCTCAAACGGTTTAGACTGAACCAAAAGCCATAAAGCGAGGCCTTTTAACTTTGAGAAAGACGTGGCCAAGTTAGCCATGTTGAAAAAAGTGCACGCTTCAGCATGCATCTGGATTGGCAAAGAACGTGAGATGGATATCGCAGCAGAAACCAAGGATCTGTTGGGCTGCGTTCAAGTTCGAGATGGTTTGCGAAAGTATTACTGTTAATGGTTAATGTAAGGTTAAGATAGGAGGAAGACCAGATCATGCTGAGACTTAGGCAGCTTTAAAGATGATGGCGTGTGCTACGACTGGCCAACAAACGTCACAAGATCCAACATGGGAGTAAGTTTCACAATGGCTCAGATAAATGCAGTATTTTGCATTGAATGAGTAGACTGAATGGAGGTCAGATTCAATTTGTGTGTTCTTCAGCCCAGCGTTTCACTGTGTGGGAAGGGTCTCGTACACAAGACCTTGTGGGAAAAGCCAAAGTAAAGAACGTTCTTCTAAGAAAACAAACCGTATTGTTTACAGTGGCAGAACGCTACCCATCCTGATTGGTGTAGCTTCGGAATTGTCTATTTTTACAGATAACATTTCATAAAACGGCTAGATTTAACAATAAACTGGGAACACATTCATGAGAGCTCAGAATATGTCTTTAATTCAGAGATGAGCTGGTTTCAGTCGCAACCGTCCTGCCGTGAACAACAACAACAGACGTGCTACATCACCCAGTTTATAGTGTTAAAAAAACCGAAACCACAACCCGAAAGCCAACGGCATGTTACATGACTTTTATTTTGTATTTTTATTTGACAAGGTCCAAATCATGATGCAGTCTTTGTCCTGATTGTAAAAGTGATGCATTTTGTGTGAAAATTAACTTTTGACAGATACATGCATGTTCATATTGACGAGTGTTGTTTTTATTTCCCCACAATTTTGCCTTATTTTGTATGTTTTATATTTCTGTATTTGTTTTGTTAAAACGAGAATTTTAATGTATTTAGTTCACAAACATTTTGATATTTTTTCAATAATTTATATTTTATAAACTTTGAAATATGAGATGCAGACAGCTGGTGCTTTCGTGGGGGAAAAAATAAATAAATAAAACAATTAAAATAAGGTAGCGCAGGACAAAATGTAGCGAATTTTCTTTTATATGAAATGAAATAAAAAAAAGAAAGAAAAAAGTCAAATTTAAGGAATTTAAAGATCTGTCTGCTTATACAGTTCTGTATATATAAGGCTGATGCTGGCCCATCATTATGTTCCGCTGGAGAGTTTTATAAACAGTAGCTTCTATTATTGTACTTTAAATTGTTATGTTATTAAAATATATGTGGAGAAAATGATTCATGTGCGTCTTCGTTATTTCAAAATTAATCTTTGGCCAATGACACCGAATCAAAGTAGCACGAAGGAAGACACACCCATAGCAACCCAACACTCGCACAAACACAGGTATGAAGTTGCAAACACACACAGTTATCACCTTGCAGCGCTGCAGGCTTTGCGGCAGATTTGTGGTTTTGTTTATTATGAGTCTTGGTTAAATGAGCAGCTCATTTCTTTCATTGCTAATCATCATAAATACCACAGCTGCAGTTTTTCATCGTCACATCATGGAAAGACAGAGGCTGCTGCCTTTGATTCTCACACTTGAGATTGGCGTGCTGCACCTCTGGCCGTCGTATGCCGGGGCTTTTCACGCGCCACAGGGTCTTCTGAGGAAGGGGACGGGAATATGTTGTGCAGCGACGACCCTAAATAAAGACCCCTGACGTAAGAACTAAAACGGGCACACTGAGTCCATTCATAAGTGTAAGCTCACAGTACAATAAATTACAAATGATAAGGGCCGTCTATTCGTTTTATGGACGGTCTGTCCTTTCTGTCAAGATCTAAAGACTCTTTTTTGACTATACAAATATGGGTTTATACTGCCAAAGCATTAAAAAAACCCCACATACAATCATGTCCAAAAGTATGAGGCGACACACTCAGAATAAAAGGTATAAAAGCTATCCCTGGGTCCTTTACTAATATGTACTTTTAAAGTACTAAAATGTAGCTTTAAGGTATTAATATGTATATTTTAGGGGTACATAAGGTACAAAGATGTACCTTATTTTAGCACTTTTGTACCTTAGAGTCCTGCCCTACTTAGAAGCTTTGTACCTTTTTTTTTTTTTTTCCTGAGAATTTAATTTAAAGGCAACAATAAACAGGGAGTTTTAGGATTTTGAGCAACGTAAAACAAAGATACTTTGACACAAAATTAAGAAAATATTTCTGTCACTAATCAAATAAGTGCACTTGAGTACATCATGTGACTGCTTTATACAGATGTTCAGTTGTTCTTGCTTCCTAAAAAGAAAGAGAGACAAACCAAACACTAAGACATTTTGAAATGCATGTTAACTGTTACATAATTAGCATTTTTCTCATATCTGCGAGTAGGTTATGGATATTAAATGGATATATGCACATATAAACTATTGGTGTGCCATTTGAGTCGGGTGTTTACACACATCGCAGGTAAGGATGGGCAATGCAATTTCTACATTTATCCCTTTATGTTCTTAATTTTCAAAGATGTGTGCCTCAAGTTGTCCATTAATTGTTCCTACGCTGATGCATTTGAACTTGCAGGGGATTCACAAGGTACGAGTGATAGATTTCACAATTTAGCTGAAAATACGGGTCTCGCTTCCGTAAAAAGAAAGAGTCAGTGGGTTGTGCAAAATCAGAGCACAGTTCAAAAAAAGAGACTTTTCTATGTTATTTTGTGTGCACTAGTTGCATACACTGTTGTCTTTTGGTAACTAGGTCTGTGTTCTGAGTTGATAAATAGTGTTAGTCGGTCACAGTGGTCTGATATTCTGCCAAGAAGCATTTTCAATTTAGACACATATTGTATTTCAGTATGCTCTGTGTAGATGCCGTTTCTGTCTTTGACATTTACACATAAAACATCCACGATATTCTGTCCAATTCGATTACATGTTTTTTGGGGGTTTTTTTTGGGCAGCACAAAATACTTGGTCTCATATACATATTCTATATTTTATATATGAATATATATATATATATATTTTTTTTTTTAAATCATGGGGCTCAAAATAATGTTGGTCTGAGTGAGATCAATGAAAGATAAGCAATATATTACTTGCTAAAGGCAAAACACTATACATCTGAACTGGGTCAACATGTTAGATGACAGATATCACCACACTTTCCCCATCTGATTAATCGCAGTACACTGCAACAATTGTTTTGGATTGCACATGTTCTGAAATTGTATGTGTAAATATGCAAATGAGGGATTATCTAATTATATATGCACTCATGTTCATTTATTCTCAGAACAGAAATCTAAAAACCTTAAGCAAGGCTCAATGTTTTTAACAATGGGATTCAACATATTTAAGTTTTCAACATATTGAAAGACGTTACGGAAGCAAAATAGCCTGCAATTGACCAGTGCATGAAAGATTTCAGCTGTAGTGTCTTGCCTTAAATGTTTCATTCTCCAAAAAAACCCTAATGTCCACTGCTGACCACACACATGCACGCAATGTTCAAGGCCTGTGTGTTCTAGACATCATTCAGCAGGTTCACGTTTGCAGGTGGTTCCTCTCTTGCCTTCACCTTTGTCTGCTTTAGATCCGCATGCAACAGTCATCACATGCTTCACGCACACACACACACACACACACACTAGTGCTCTTCATCTCATCACTTGTTCCTAAAGAATCTGATCTTGCTTAAAAATAATGCCTTTGAAAGGTACCTTCAATAATTATAAATATAACATGAAGTAGATTTTTCTGAGTGTGTTGGAGAAGCACTATGCAGTTAAAAAATGCTGAAAATGGTTGTCAGGTTACACAAACACGGTGTATCTGTGGGTTTGAAGGCACCTACAGTTGGGGATTTCAAAAGGGTAATTTTCATATCTGACTGAGGTAATTTTCCATTACGGTTGAGTGAAAAAAACGAAAGAAAGGCAGAGAAAGAAAGAAAGAAAGAAAGAGAGAAAAAAAAAACCTCTCTGCAAGTGCAAAAGTGTCATAAGTGGTGAAGTTAGGTGATGTCCTACGCCTGCAGACTGTTGAAGAATTTCTCTGTCTCTCTCTAGTACACACACACACACACACACACACACACACACACACACAGCTTCAAGTGTCCTATGCAGGAGATGGAGGAGTGTGTGGAGTCTGAGCACAAATATTTATGCTAAAGTCTATGGCTGGCCTCAGCTGTCTCCTGTATCCTACCATAAGAGTACAAGCAGAGAAATGTCCCAAAAATGCGAAATAAAGGTGAGTGGATTTCTGCAGCCTAAGCAGCAAACAGAATTGCAAGTATAATGACTATTTTTAAAGTTTCAGTTCGAAGTAGTGGGCACACATAACTAGAAACATAACTAGAACAGGTGCATGCATGGTCAAAAATAATCAAAATGAAAGAAATAATAAAAAAGCACACCGTTTTATCTGCAATTATAAAACTGTAATAATAAAAATCTTCTTCAGCTGCCTTGTTTGGGTTGAAACATAATATATTAAAGGAATAATTCACCCAATCTGTTCATTGGAACCGATTTGAAAAAAAAAAAAAAATGTGTTACATTACTCGCTCGCCAATGGATGCTCTGCAGTGAATGGGTGCCGTCAGAATGAGAGTCCAAACAGCTGATAAAAACATCACAGTAATCCGCACCACTCCAAGGAACAAATACATAAGCCAAACCAGTGCTCAACAAATATGTTGGTGGATTTTGATGTAAGAGACAACAGTTTATGGATTATGGAGTTGCATTTTGGACAGAACCGTGGGTTGGACGTATCTTGATGGATGCATTTCTTAGAAACACGCAGCTTTTCACTTCACAAGATATTAATTGATGGACTGTAGATTACTTGTGGATTATTGTGTTTTTATCAGCTGTTTGGACTCTCATTCTGACGGCACCCATTCACTGCAGAGGATCCCTTGGTGAGCAAGTGATGTACTCACAGTGGCTCTAGTAACCATTTCACAATAAGTTTCTCCAGTTCTGATCATGGCGACTGAATCTGAATCTTTCAGTGCATGTAAACACATCTAATGACTTCTGACTGAACATCTGCATGATTTTTATGTCACTACTGCCTGGTCCCGTCAGTGGAGATGTGAGGCTATCTGTGCTCCAAAAGCCAATCTTATTGTGATAAATTAGCTCACAAAATGCACCATGTATCCTCGTGAGGAGCTGGAGAGAGATGGCCCTCATGACGCATGTTAAGCTCCTCTCACTGGTTCCATTACGCCAGAGCTTGTGAAATACGAGCCCATTCCAGGTTCCCCAATGTCCTCTTCATAGCAGCATTTTCTATTCTGGGCTCATTGTCCTGAACGGTCGAATCTGGTTCGGGTCAATATTACCAGGGATCAGTAACACTGTCTGGGGACTTCATTACAGGCCCATAACCGATCCTATTGAACTATCAGTGTCTGATCTATCTCTATTCTCATGGTTTCAGCGATGACTCATGATCTGCTTACAAATGATCATCTTTATTTGAACTCATTTACTGTAAGCCTTTGGGTAAATGTGCCAAATGCTATTTTTTATTTATTTTTTCATCTAGAAATATTTGTTTACTCAGAATTGTACATGGCGGCTTTAGTTAGTTTGTTTGTTTTAATATCAAATATTTAAATGGACAATTATTCTAATTATGACATCTCTTAAAAATAAACACATTAATGGGTTGATCTATTAAGTTATCACAATAAACATATTAGCTATTCTGTTCAAATGCCTGTAAGCCTTTGGGTAAATGTGCCAAATGCTATTTTTTATTTTTTTTTTTCATCTAGAAATATTTGTTTACTCAGAATTGTACATGGCGGCTTTAGTTAGTTTGTTTGTTTTAATATCAAATATTTAAATGGAAAATTATTCTAATTATGACATCTCTTAAA